AAGCTAGCAGCCACACACTGAGTAGGAATCACTCAGCAGCTGCTAAACCCAGCGCAGTCGGATCAAAAATGCCAGAACAGCTTTCAAAACCATGGGTAACCACTAGATAATGCCAGATACCAGGACTATGTGATTACATTAAGAGTGGTCCTAGCAAAGGTCAAAACTCTTTATTACCTTCACCAGAACCACAATATGTCTTTGTACATGTTCTCCTGTTTCTAGTGGTTTTATGAGATTATTCTTATGTATCTCACCTAATAAACCAGACTGGATCAACTTAAAACTAAGTTTTATGCCTTCAGACATCCTCGTTGGCTTCATCTGAGAAGAGCAGGAGAAGGTCAATGGAATTTATTTTTTCCCCAGCAGAACATTGACCTTTGTGTATCAAGCAATAAAGTTTACCCAGTTATTCTTGTCACTGGCTATGTCAGCACTTCTCTCTTTGTAAAAATATTTGTAAACAAAACCAAATTAATCCAGGTCATGAGCTGGTAGTCAAAATACAATTTACCGGAGCAAGGAGATGGTGAACAGCAGGAGAATTAAGAGAAAAATAGATAATTCTCTTTTAAAATGGAACTGCAGAAGTAAAATGGCAGCGCTTGAGCAGAGAAAGCATCAGAGGCATGAGCGAGAACAGAGGCCAGCAGCTTCTGAAACTCCTTGGGTCTACTAGAATAGTCCTCTGGACTAAACTGTGGTTAAATCCACCCAGATATTTACCAAGACCCCAATATTTGCATTAATTGGCAGTAACACACTGAACAATAGATAGTCTTGTCTTAAATCTAAATTAGCTAAATAGCATTAGACAAAACACAAAACATCTTGTCATTTGAGAGCATGTAATTTCAATTAAAAACCCTAAAATAATAGCTTTGGCAGTCCCAGATCCTTTAAAAATAAATTATGTCTCCTATCCTCTAGCATCAGCCTCATCCGCACACCCTGATGGGCTCATCACCATGCTCCCCATTCCTGCACCCTGCAGTCAGGGCCCCCACGCCAGCCACGAGCGACTTCTCATTCTTTCACTGCTGTGAAATAACTACTCAGTGCCAAACCTGCTGGGGCCAGTTCCAAAGCCTTGCTCACCACTTCAGCCCATTTGCTTTCCCTGCTTTCTGCTGCACTGCCACACACATCCTTGTCTGTCACTGCTGGCTTTCATCTAGACTCCAGTAGGCGTGAAAGAGTCACTAAGATAACTGTTCAGACATTGGAGATCAAGGTTTAATTACTGCTTGCATTTCTGGTGCAAGTATCCAGCACATGAGTTTGAGAAACAAAACTCCATTCAGGGGAACGGAGCTGACTGAATTGCCTGTCGCAGAAAACAAACAAAAGGACGAAGAGGAGAAAGTGCATTTCCAGTGAAGCCGCTGTCACGCACCAGGCTTTTTACCCTGTTACCGTATTTTGAAGATCCATACTTACTCTCACCCCACCATATTATCTTAAATCAGGCTCTGTTGCATCAAAGACAGAAAAAATTATCTTTGTGGACCAGAGTACAGAAGTCAGGATATTTAGCTCTGCGGAAGGAGGAGGGAGACCAGCAGCAACACCAAAACCCTCTTGGGACTCATCTCCCACAGACCACGCTCAGTCTCCAGCGATTGAAAGTCGGATGCTGCCATCTGTTGAAAACTTCCCGCTGCAACAACAAATAGGTACTTAACGCATGGCAGGCGGTCTGAACGTGTTTTATCCTCTTCTTAAACAATGGCATAAGGAGCAATGGCAATCGGCATCCAGAAATACTGGTCATCTATCTGAGAGCAGAAGTGAGACCAGGCTGCACCCCTCTCCCAACCCTCTCCCACCTACCTCTGACTTACTAAGGGATTTTCACAACTCAGATTCTAATCCCATTTTACCACCTGTGACTAGGACTACTGATGCTTACCTTCTTGTGATCAGCTGAGCACGTAAGGAACTATAGGCAGTGCAGCATCACCATACACTATCCATACCATAATACGACTAGTTCCTCTCCACACCACAACAGCCAGGCAAGCGGCCGCACTCACACAGACCTAGCTGTACAGATCTGGTTTGGAAAGTAGCAGCAGACCTCCAGCTGGAGGGCCAAGACTTCTTTCTACCTCTAGAAGGGTATGGAGGCAACACAATCACTTCCAGACTTGTTCAACGTCAGACTGCAGGGTATCCAGGATAGCACCAGAGCTAAAGCTTGGTAATTCAGGGGTTTGCAGCGCAGACGCTTTCCTCAGGTGTCACCCACCCTCCCAGGTTTCCCCACAGGAAGGTCAACTGCCTCTGTCCCACAGAGGATTCCTCCCTCATCAACATCTCCCTCTGCTCCACAGGTACCAAACACCTTCTCTAAATTAACACTTTGCCTTGATTACCAGTTGCGACCTGTACTGTACTTTCAGCTTTGTGCCATTTTCCCATCTCTCCCTATTAAGCCTTTTATTACCCAAAATGATAGTTAACTTTTACCTACAAACTGCTTTCCCAAGGCATATGCCCTCAACTCCAAAAACACCACCGAGGCTTAAAAAAATACCACTTTCAGGTTTTAAACACGTCCGAGAATAAGAATTTCTGCAACCCATTTAAAGCAGTTGTGTTGCAGGGCATGTCATAATCCTGCGTGTCACCTCCCAAGTCCCACTTGACAAGTTCCTTGGATCTCAGCCAGCAGCTATGGCCCAGGAGTAAAGCTCTCACCAGTGAGGTGCAAGCTCAGAGATCATCTTATGAACTTGGATCAGCTGCAGCAGCTTCTAAGTGTGGTAAGTCAGTACGTAGTTACATTTTTTTAAGATACACTGTGGAAAAGGTGCATCTGCTGCTGCATGCTTCCCTCCAAGTCATTCTTTTTACACTGGAGCTCTTAAGTCCCAGTTAATAATTCTAACAAGAGTCACTGGGCTGGCTTGTGAAATAAATTAACACGGTCTATTCCCAACTGGTCTGTCAACTGAGAATATCAGAAATTCTCTTCCTTGGAAGTCTCTGTGGTAGTAAAGGACATACACAGGTAAACTCGTTCAGAAAAACTGATGTGCGTGTCCTGCATAAAATTGTTTTAAAACATGAACGTCAAACTAGCAGGGAACTTGAAGCCATAGTGAATTCATCTAAAGGAAGCCTTAAAGCATCACTGCCCTTCTTCCATCAGGTATCAGAAACATGTGTTCTATTCTGGACTGATAAAAATCAAGATTTTTCAAAAAGGACCAGTGGAATCTTGATACCATCTTCAGAGTTACTCTGAGCAAGAAATACAAAAGCTCATGTGTGTATCCATGCTCACTACAGCAGAATTATCTTCATTAAGGATAGAAAAAAAAACCCAACCCTGTAACAAACAGCTTGATTTGACAATAAAAAGGGGTCAAGACAGACTTCTTTTAGTTTCGTTACTACTCTTTGTAATCCAGTGTACAGTTCTTTATCTTCAGCTAAGCAAATTTGTTTCAAATCAAAGAACCATACTCATCACATTTGAATATTTTGATGCCATCTACAATCCATACTTTGTGACCTTAACCAGCACGTGACTGAGACAAAACAGGTAAACTAGCCTTTTTTATTATTCCCCTGTTCTTCTCAGTCAAGCTGCAAGTCTCCATTATGGGATGCTAGTGTGTACCACCAGAACACTTAACTGCACGCATTCTTTCACAGCCCTGCTGCTAGCTTCTTGTTCCTCAGAAGAGCCACCACATTAGACAAGGCTGTGCAGCTTGTCTACATAGAGGTAAGACCTGTTTGCTTAGCAGTATCACCTTCTCCCTTTTCTCCATAAAAAGTAACAGACTGAACTGAAACAGGTTACATAGTTATAAACTACAGAGATTAAAGACTTCATGCCTGAAGACATTCACTTCCATCCTAAGGCTCTCTGAAAAGCTTTGTGATGAAGTATCACTTTCGAGGCACACTACTTTTAACTCAAGCAACTGTACATATCAAGCATCAGGACCTATGGCCAAGAAGGAAAATTGTTTCCAAATGTTTGTATCAGGTGGACCACAAATTCAACAGTTGTTTTAAAGTGCATTGAAACAGGCTTGCTACATTTGAATAGGCTCCTTCCTAATAAAGACTCCAAAGTGAAATAAGGCAAGGGATTTCCACCTGCTGTTAAAGGACAACACAATCAGCCCAGAAGTTTGCTTCCCATTCTCTACCATCTGCAAGTAGCTCTTCAGCTGTAGTCACCTGCTCTGTGTACTGCTTTGAAAGAAATTTGTTGATTTTTCTGAATGGTCAAGTACATTATGCTGTCATGCATCAGATGCCTGAAACAAAGACCAAAAACCCATTCAATACTAAACATTCACTACCTGTAGATTCAGATACCCTCACTTCCTCACTCCAAAAAGTAACTTAAAAAAAATCTCAAACAGTCACATCTTCATGGTAACATGCAAAGCAGCTGCAACTGCCTTACCCAAAACTGATGTTTCAAAGGACTTTCGAACTAGAAATTTGAAGAAAAAATTATTCACCTCAGTACCTCAGCTACTCCCTTACACTGTAAGATGTGGAACAAGTTTGTGATCTGAAATCAGACTTCAACCATCTTTATCATTCCACAGTCCTACATCTCATAACTTTCTAAACCATAAACAGGAAACACCTTCTGGCAAGGCATCTTCTATTGTTAAGCCAAAAGGTGAAACTATAGAGCCACATATATGTAACTATGGAGACGCATGCATCTAACAGCCAAGAGGCAATCCCACCACATGATAGCTGAGTATGCAGTTTAACATTAGAGTTCCTCTGCTGAGGCTATTCTGTATAGCAACCTGTAACTGTCATTCAAGTGGTAATTACTGAAATATTTCTGTTATATTAACAGAAATAAAAGTTGTGACCAGGGATGGCACGGAACCTGAATGTCCTTTGCAGTAAAGGTGGAACTTGAGCACTATTGAAGAGCTGTCTGTTGCAAGCACTATCTCAAGTAGTGTTAGAAGTCATTAAAATACCGACTGGAAACACCAGAGTCCATTTGAACAATTTATTAGTATCCTCTTTTTTTACAAGTTTTAGAAAAAGAATCCCAGGATTTTGCCTCCTGTGTGTTTTCGCCTAGCCTCCTCATGGTCCATGATGCCAGCTGAGGTTGTCAGTACAATGTACCTATTAAGAAAGAACAAATGTTCAGTTTATCATTTTGTTTTATGCTTGTGCAGAGTTGACAGCACTAACTTCATTTTTGTATTACAATAGTAAGATTAGTTTCTGTAAGAATAGGCCTAGCGGAACTAAGGTTATCAGACAATGAAAAAGAAACTCCTCTCACAAGCACAACTCTGCAGCACACAACGGACATTTATAGGCTTCTGTTCCCAAATATTTGCATAAGTCTCAGCAAGAAGTTTTCTTGCGCATTCCCACTGTAAAGTCAGTTCAGCTGTTGTAGCAGCAGCAACTCTATAGTTTCCAGACAAAGTCTGCTTCTACTTTAAGCAGACATTTTTCTTCAGAGCAGGTAGAGTTGCCATGGTGCCAGACAGCTCCTCAACTCCGAGCGCTTTGTGTCTCTGTGTTTTGAACACTGTGCACTGATGCAGATGAATATCTGGATCTGGACTGACAACTGAAGCAGCCTTAGTCATTGCTAATGCCAACATTTGGATTATCAGCATACTTCATCCACACAGCTTCGTGTCTGAGAACCTCTTGTCCTGCCACTCTATAAATACTCTTAAAAATATGACAACACACACTAGTAAGCTATATAGGTACAGCTAAAGCAAGCGGCTTATCACTGGAGCTTTAAGAACAGAAATGACAAGGAACTGTTAAACCTGCCTTTGACAGGACAGACTGGCTGAGCCCCTGAAGACTGTTCTAGCTCATCATCCTGATGCACTGAGATTTATTACCCTTGACTCAGTGAATTTTGGAAATGAAAAACATATTGCATAATATTAAGATTTTATACATTGTGGAGGTTTGTTTAATAGAGGCTCTGAGTCTCTCATCACTTAGTATCTAATCAATTCATACACAATCAGGAAGTTCCTACTTCCGTTGACCTGGTAACTTACATGACTCCTCCCCCATCCATAAACAGCTACTAATAAAATTAAAACGAGTAAGAGAAAAATCCTATTTTCCCGATAAACTGTAGAGACGGTGAAAGCAGGATTTACCAAAGCCAAGCAAAAATAGGTCCTTGCTTAGCAGTGCCCCTTTAAAACTGGTTAAAAAGAGCATTTATATGGAAGATGGATTTTTAGACTGCTATCTACCTCCAGACTGATCAGAGAGGAAAGGTGTCAAGGGAGTCTAACTTGGGCAGTATGAAAGTGTAATAAAAAACACCACATTTTTACATACAACATTTATTTAAATCTTCTCCATACTTACCCAAACTGACGTGAAGGCAGCAGGTTGTTCTGCCACTTTTCCAAATCCTTCAGCTGAACATCAAATCTGGGACTGATTACACCACACTATAAAACAGAATTCCATTACAAACGGAAGAACTTTATAAACTGGATTTGTACTGTAGTCATTCCAGCTCACTGAATGAAGGAATTTAACAATTGCAATTGAAATATTTTTGGCAACAAAAGATTAGAATACCAAGAAGCATACCCCATTACCCACAGTATGGAACAGCGCTTCTTCTCAGGTAAGTTGAGACTCGCACAGCTATTCAGCTTTTATTTCCTTAGCCTTACCTCCTCCTCCTTGTCTAAATAGTGTGACTTACACTGCTGCTGAAACTAAACTAACAAATTAATGGCTAGACCTGCAAGAGCATAAAAGCATACTATAAACCACTAAAGATTATTAAGCATCCTCTATCATCCAAAACCATGTGATTACTCAGGGATATTCTACTTCTAATCATCAAAAATAGTTAGCAAAAAATACCTGAGGATTTTAAACATGGAGAAATTAACATGCATAAAAGTTATTGAAGTCTTCAAGTTAATCATACTATTTACTGACCATGACCACTACTACCACCTCCAGCTACCTCCCTGGCTTCAATTATCTTAATAAATATCCAAGAGCAGACCAGAAGTACACTTCCTGCACTGATGGACATTTTTCTGAAACAAACAACTGTTCCCTTATTGCAATTATTGAGAGAAATGTTATATCCATCTGTACCTTGCAAGATCTGTTACGAAATTATCCCAAAGAGTTCAAGGAACACTATACTCAAACCTGACATACATTATTTTTATTACAGACATATAACAGTAGTAATTTGGGTGGCATCAGAATTCGCTGCCTACTACACTCAAACAATTTTCAGCTGCAGTATTTTTTCATCGTGGAGACAGCACCCAACATATTTTGACCAAGTAATTTTTTTATTTCTTTAGTAAAGAAGCTTAATTGAATAGCTTAATTGGAAACCATGATGCACAGCAAGTCATCACAGAACTAGCCAGCTCAGTATTCTGAGACAAAAGCATTTAAAAAATTTCCAAAACACACACGAATACTTCATATGCCCCAGGAACTTAAAAAACACTAATCAACATTAACATTCAACTTCCCTCAACTGCAAGCAAAGCCAATCTAGCAGCAGCAGAAAGGCTTATTTTCTCAACATTTACAGGTATTAAACATCAACTGGAAAGCAACTCAGTTCCTATCTCTTAAGACAAGTCTTCTAGATAGCTTAAACATCAAAGAAACTGAGAAATCACTAGGTAGCCAGAAAGCCTTTAAAGGGAGAAACACATAGCACTTGCAAGCAGACTTCCCTGAAAATGTCTTACACATTCAGAGTTTACCCAAAATGTAATTAGTCAACCATATCACTATGAATCTAGAAAAATTAACAAGCATCCGATAACCACTGATAATATCCATATTATTTTCAATTATACGGATTCAATAAATACTACCTTCTTTGTAAGTAATTCTTTCAGAACCGGAGCAGATAAACATTTTAAAAAGTCTCATTTAAACACCTTCCTAAAGAACTGAATTCAGGAAGACAAATCCTACCTTGTTGAGTCTGCCTGTGAGATTGACAACAATCTTCCCAGCTCTGTGATCATCAATTATCTCAAATTCACCAATGTAACCTACAAAAGATCAGCAAACAGACAATCAAATACATCATACTTAGCTATGTTACTGCAACTCAATTAACCATGTTGTACAAAACTAGTTCAAGCATCTTGACTTCCTTTTAGTCAAAAAGCATCTTAACAGCATCCACAGAAACAACAGATGAGAAACAAGTCAGCGCTGTGCACTCTAGACTTACCGTGCTTCATCATCACAGTTAAAAACCGGACGATTACTTTGGAGCACGGCCTAATGAGAACTTGGCGTTTCCCACGTTTCTCTGCGTTGTTGATGCTTTTGAGAGCATCGGCTAGAACGTTCATGCGCACCATGGTGCCTGCAGGGAACAGAAGAGGCAGTTACATACACCAGCTTTTCAGCACAGAAATACTGAGCAGTGCCCTTTTCTTGAGGCTAATTTTAGACCTAGTAAGACTGACAGAAAGTTACATTAAACGTTAAAAAGCGCTCTTAAGCTAGAAAGCAGATCAAATCACACACTGGGGTATGTTCAAGAGAATTCCTAACTATCATAACAAACCAGGAAAGCCAACACTTATTTAAACTTAGTGTTATCAACACGCACAAAGATTTAAAAACAACCATCTAGACACCATTTCATCAGTATGACACCTTTCCCTGGTCAATCGTTTTGGACTTTAAAACCTAGTGATGCAGAATTAGCCCTACTCAAAAACTAGGTCGTACATGGTATTAAATAGAACAGAAGCCGCTCGGCTTGCTTAGCTGCAAAAAACCTGCAGAACACAAGTGCAACGCAGCACTCTGGAAAGGAAACTGGGAATCAACTCTTGCGGTCTCGTGATAAAGACAGGAGCCCCCCGAGTACCACAAGGGATGACAAGACTTGATGCTGTCGCCCCACTTGTTAACAGAGCCAGTGCACCACCAGGACAGTGCTCCTGACTGGCCCACAAGGCCATTCCCCAGGTGGCCAGGTCCTGCGGCACACGAAGGCTTTTACTACTCAGCCAGGGACGCCCGAACGAGCAGGCCTGGCTAACTGCTGCCCACGGGGCGAGGGCAGGCAGACCCCCCGTCCCGAGGGCCGCCTCCTCTCCCAGGGACCAGCCCACCGCCCGCTCCCCAAGCCCTCCCCTACCTCCTCCCAGGCCTCGCCGCACGATCCTCGCTCCCCGAAGCCCGCAGACTCCGCGGCCCGGCTCCCCCGAGCCCTGCCCAGCCCGGCCTCCCACAGCACCGGCCCGGGCCTGGCTGCCGTGCCGGCCCCCGCCCTCGGCGCCCGCCCCGCATCTCCGCGGAGAGCGGAGCCACGGGCAGGGGGGTGCTTCCCCCCACCCTGCACTCCGGAGGCTCCAGAGAGCGCTAGGGGAGACGCCGGCGGCCCAAAACCGGCCGGGCCGGCCGGGCGCAGCCTCATGGCCCCGGCGAGGCGGGCAGAGGCGGCCGCCGG